GTCCCTGGGATCACACCGTGGAAGGGAGAGCTCACTGGGCGGAGCTTCGACCGGGGGATACACATGGCGTCGAGGGTGTCGATGTATAGAATGTTGAGGCCGCTGCCTCCGTCCATCAGCACCTTGGTGAGGCGCTTCTGGCGGACAATGGGATTGACAACGAGCGGGTAGCGACCTGGTCTGGCGACATGGGAAGGATGGTCCCTCTGATCAAAAGTGATCGGAGATTCTGACCAGCTAAGGAAAGAGGGGACGGCCGTTTCAGCGATGCATGCCTCTCTGTAGCGCACTTTGTGCTGGCGCTTGGAGTAGATGGCATCAGATCCCCCAAAGATCATGAGGCATTCCTCGGGATCAGGAAAGCTATCCCCATCCTTGCTCGCCACGCCTCCCTTCTTGGCCGTTGCCTCCTTGCCCTTTCCTTCTTTTGGTCTGCCGACCTGTCGCAAAAAGCGGTTGAGAAATTCGCAGTCCTTGTAGAGGTGCTTGACGAGGTAGGCGTGGTTGGTGCATGGGCTCTCCATGAGCTTGTCGAAGTGGTCGGGCTGGCCGTGCTGGGGCTGCTTGCCCGCATGATCGGCCGCGGCGACCAAAGTGGAGTTGGCTGGTCGGCGCCGATCCTTCTTGTTCTTTTTGCCCCTTTGCATGGAGGGGCCCTTGTCTTGGTTCTCGCGCTTGGCCTTGCCCTTGTCCTAGCCTCCACTAAAGACCACTCCGACTGCCTCCTCGCCGGAGGCGTGGTTCATGGTGATGTCGAGCAGGTCATGGGTGGTATGGGGCTTCTGGCAGCCGAGCTTGTGGATCAAGGACTCATAGGTTGTCCCAGAGAGGAAGCGCTGATGACGTCCGCATCGATGACATCAGGAAGGGAGTTGCATCATTTTGAGAACCTATGGATGTAATCCTATAGGGACTCGTTGAACACCTACTGGTAGCTCTTGAGGTCCTAGGAATTCCCAGGATGGACATACGTCCCCTGGAAATTCCCGATGAAGATCCTCTTGAGATCCGCCCAGACACAGATGCTATCAGGTGGGAGGAATTTGAGCCATGCTCGAACATGCTCCCCCACACAGATGGGGAGGTATTGAATAAGTGGTCATCATGCACTCCTCTAGCTCAGCAGGTGAGCCAAAAGTCTTCAAGCCATATACCGGGATTCGTTTCCCTAGTGTATTTGGCGATGTTGGTAGGTGGTCGGAAGCGCTGTGGGAACGACGCTTTCTGGATGCGATGGCCAAAGGCCCGTGGTCCCGGGCTGTCTAGGCTGGGACTCCGGTCATCTGGTCGACGGCCATGCTTGAGGTTCGTTTCCCCGCTCCTCTCAACGGTCAGGCCGGGGCCCGTGTCGCATGCCCTCACCACCCCTTGATGGTCGTCATCATTACGTCGGTTTTGACGCCGATTGTTGATTACGCTGCGAGCATCTCGGTTCGGCCCGAGCCATTCGCGCATAGGTGGTCAGTGTGGAGCAGGCGCAGGGTCAGGCCGTGGTGCAGCTGCGTCCACCTGTTCCACGCCCGGTGACTGTAGTGGTGAGTGGATGGAGCGATTTGACTGGTGCGCCCCCATTCTCCGGGTAGGGGAAGAGGCCACGAGCCCGTGTCATGATGCGGAGCTCTCCGCCTATTGAACGGTGGTGGTTTCCACTAGCGCCCGGAGGTTCCGGGGGATCGCCTGCTCCTAGGGGTCGACAGGCTCAGGAAGGCCGCGCAGAAGCATCGCTGCAGCGATGATGTTCTAGCCAGCCCGAGCGAACTGTGGGGGATCATTTCCTCCGTCCATGATGTTGCGCTGGACCTGGCGGGCACGACCCGGGCCTCGCTCGCCGAGTTACGCGTGCGTGGTGCAGCGTGCTACGTCGAGCGCACCGGCGCAGGTGGCGGCTGGCTCTGCCGCCTTTGTCGTAACTCCTCACCATGCTCTAGCGCACGCGCAAGGGCCTCCGCACGAGGGTCCAAAGGGGTGTGAGTCTGTAGAGACTCCGCTATCACCGCTGGCTGTCCCAAAACGTCCGCCATAGCGCACTCCCGGGATAGAGGGTGGCTAGGTGCCATGACATCACCGATGCTGGAGCCGTTGCTTTCAACCTCGTCATCCACGAGGTCGTGGAAAGAGGTAGGAGCGTAGCCCGCCATCCCCCCGAAATCGGATGTGAGAGAGGGCGACGTCAGCATCTTTTGGAGCCCCCGCGCGTACGCGTCCGTGGGGGACGTGAGGCCGTAAGGGAACCGGTCGTACGACGGTTGCGGTGAGGACAACGGTGTCCCTCCAGAGAGTCAGCAGAAGATATTAAATAGAGAGTAAAGAACAATATGTACGTTACTCACAGTGGGGTTTGAGCCCAGCGTGGGCTCGGAGCGAAGCGTAGGTGTCTCATCGTTGAGGTCGCCGGGTGGCCCGGATCCGACGGAGGGCGCTCCTCCTCCGACGGGCGCTGAGACAAGTGCCTCCTCGCAGAGGTGAAGCATGCCGAGCCGGTCGATGATGAAGTCCAGGCTTTTGAAAAGGAAGGTCTGAGACAACTCGAAGACGGGAGGAACCCACATCCCAACAGGCAGGAGCGTGGGAAACTCCATCGAGCCGAAGCGAATCGTATCGCTTGAGCCCGTCATGACAAAGATGGCGGAAAGGTGGGCCATCCGATGACCAAAAGCGTGAACGTACGGCGTCCTCCCCACGGACGGTGCCAACTGTCGGTGTGAAAAGTGACCAACAAGTAAATATTTGTAGTTTTATCGTACGTTGTGATTGGATGTGGCCTAGCACTCAATGACACAGGGTTTATACTGGTTCAGGCAACGTGCCCTATGTCCAGTTTGAGTTGGTCGGTGACTTTATTCCTGAGCCAAAGTGCTCGAAGTTTGCCGTGGGATTACAAATGAGTGGGAATAAGATGGGGGTGTTAGAGGTCCGATCGGACTCTAGACTGAAGGGTCAAGAGTGATGGGAGCTCCTACGTGCACTAAGTATTGAAACGTATGCTCTGTGTAGCTTTAGAGTTATAGAGCCGTGGAGTTGTTCGAGTGCTCAGAATGTCTAAAGCTAGCAGAGAGAGAGAGTCGGAATGACCGTCCTTTTAGGAGAGAGCGCATCCCCTTTTATAGATGAAGGGGATGGCCTTACAAGTTTGAGAGAGTGTGTGTGTTTCCTAGTCTTGTTGCCCACGCCGTCGGGTACAAGACAATTTGTCGGCGCCCACAATACTGTTGACGCCCAGATGCATGTGGCAGGCTCCATCGTGTTATTCTGGTATGGCAAATGTCGGCACCTACCATATTGTAGGACAAATGTCAGCGCCCACAATACTGTTCGTGTTCTGACATATCTGAAAGGTTGCAAATCACCGTTCTAGCATGGCCCTGCAATACTGTCCTGCAGGTGTGCAGGGTACGGTCCTCGAAATTACGGTCGACTTGAGCGCCTTGCCTTATCCTCCTCACCGAGCGAGCGTCCCTGGTCGGTTGTTCCCAGTCAGCTCCGACCGTGCCGGTCGGAGAAGAGCTGTATGCAGAGTTCGGTGTATTCCCGGTCGGAAAAGCGGGTCGGAGTCGGAAGCGAGCATCGTCCCCTCCTTGGCCAGGCCTTCCTGTCGGAAAAAGCAGGTCGGAGTCAGAAGCGAGCGTCGTCCCCTACTTGGCTAGGTCTTTCGGTCGGAGACTGGATCGTTCTTCCGGCCTGTCGTCAGATATCTGGGCCGGCCCAGGAGTCCCGCGTTGTTGTAATGCCGTCTGCTGGGGCGAGTTTTTGCTAGAAAGTGGATCCATCGGGGACCCTGGGGTTATGAACCCGACAGTGAGTTTGTTGAAGAGCAATAGTGGCAAATCCATTGGGCCTGCTTGGTTACAGTGCAGCTTGTTTGGCACATTGTACTCCCTCCGTTCCTAAAAGAATATATTTGTGGAATAGTGTCGTATTTTAGTATATAAAGTTTGACCAATTATAAATAACAAATATAAATATTTATAGTATTAAATAAATATTATTAAATTAATTTTGAAATGCATTTTCATAATAAATTGATTTAAAGTGATAAATATAAATATTATTTATTTTACTAGAAATTTGGTCAAACTTGAAGTGCTTAAACTGACACGTACATCATAGTTACATGTTTTTGACAGAGATAGTACTATACTACCTTGCGGCAGCGTTACAAGTCAGGAAAATTAGATTTATCGTCTTTTGGTGTTATTCATCTCCATTTTTTGCTACAATGATATTGATGCATATAGTACGTGATTGAGCGAGGAAATTAATAATCGATGAGAAGATATCCGTAGACCATATATTTTAATAACCCTTTTGTTAGAGCCGTGATCGACGGTTGTTGAGCCGGTACTAGTAGAAAATATAAAATGGCACGAGGCAAGAAAAAGACGCATGGCCGGGCCGGTCCCACTCCCCACCTGTATGTACGGACGATCCTTCTCCTGGGCCTTGTTTAGATTAAGTTTTTTTATTTTCTCTCCATTACATCAAATCTTTGAACGCATGTATGAAGTATTAAATATAGATAAAAAATAACTAATTATACAATTTGATTGTAAATTATAAGACGAATCTTTTAAACCTAGATAGACCATAATTAGATAATAATTATCAAATATAAACGAAAATACTACCATACCAAATACTAATTCCTAACGCCAATCTCGGTCAAAAGAAAAACCTCTGCTGTCCTAAAAGCACACAGAGTGGTCATCTCGGGCTCTATCCTGGCACTCCCCGTCCCATCATGAATAGTGCAAGGTCTCGGGTCAAGTCTCCTTTGTTTTTTTTTTCTCTCTTTCTTTCATGTCCACTCGCTCGGTTTTGAAAAACTGACTTCTGAACAAGCGAGAATGATTTTTATTCTGAGACAGAGAGAACACCAGTACTACACCCCCTTTCTCTTTTGTCTTCCCTTACTTACTCCGGCGGCTAGCTTTAAGCTCGGTAGCTCAAGAAGCCAAAATAAGAACAGCAGCAGCAGCAGTTAGATAGTGATCGTGTCCTCCATGGGGAACACCCTCAAGTGCTTCAGGCGAGAAGAAGAAGACGGCCACTTCCACGGGCGCAGAGACCGCTACCCCTACTACCAGCCGCAGTACTACAGCTACAGTGGTGGTGATCCACATCCACCCGCCGCTGCTCCTCGGCCTCATCAGCAGGGTCTCGCTGCAGGCCCCCATGGCTTCGTAACCTTCATCCCCCTCACGCAGGTTCCAATCGACATCTGCCCTTTGCTTGTGTGTCCCTACTGTGTATGTTCTTGTTTTCTGACACTGCCGGCTGTTGGTCACTGTGACAGTGTTGCCATTTTATTACTAGTAGAATCTCAAATCCTTGAAAATTATGTTTAGAGCTCCACGATCAGTCCAAGTGTAACTAATAATTAGGATCCTCCTGTACCCATCTGTTGCGAGTTTGTGACTGAGACCAGAGAAGTTGGTACAATCCTTTCACTTGAATGTTTGCGTGATTGGGTATTTTTCGGCAGGCTGCTGGTCCAAACACCGGACACCAGCAGAGGAGCAGTGGGGTTCATGACAGCAGAGTGGTGGTGGCTTCTCAGTATCAATCCAAGTGAGATGCTGCTCTGCTCTGCTCTTTGTTGCTTCCTGCTCCAGAGTAGCTCATTTCGCTACCTATCCATGTCCACAGCACCGAGGACATCGACGAGTCATCAGCCGAGGGCCTGTGCAGCGCCAAGAGCTACGCCAAGGCGAACCCGCTGCTGATCCAGGTGCCCGTGCTGGGCACCACCAAGAAGTTCTGGCGGCTATCCGACAAGGCCACGCGAATCACCCGAAAGCTCGTGCTGATCCTGAGGAGCCACCACGCCGTCGGCAAGCACCTGGCCGCCCCGCTGCAGTTGTCCAACGTCTGGATCGGGGGCACCGGCGGCAGCGTCAAGCTACGCGGGGTCAGCTTCACCGCCAAAGCCTTCGGCATCGAGCGCGTGAGAGACGACTACAAGCAGCTGTCCAGGCTCCTGCTGGCGATCATCAGAATCTCCGGCGGTGGGGACGCCGCCATCGCCAGGCTGCCTCCGGACTACCGGGAGTTCCTCGCGCTCCTGGGGAGCGACACCCTCGCCATGGACGACGAGTTCTTGATCGTCAACAGCGCCGCCCTGCTGCCCATGAAAAACCGGTGAAACTCTTGTTTCCGACGACTGTCATTTTGAACATTTTTGGAATAAAAAAAAAACAGACTCATTTCAGCTACTTGTGTGATCGTGTCTGCAGCACGGAGGCGTTCCTGATGCTGCACGACACGATCGTGAAGCACCTTGGGCGCACGGACCGGGCGAAGAAGAGGAGGATCCTCTCGGGGCTGCCCTACCAGAGCGACTGGCTGGAGACGGCCAGGGCGAACGCGCGGATCAACAAGTGGGTGGTGAACGTCCAGCACGAGTACAAGAGGACCCAGTCCGACCTGCTGCGGCTCAACAGGAACGTGAGGAGCCACCTGCACGAATACGACGACGGCGGCGGCGACATCGAGGAGGTCCTGTACTGCGAGTGGCCCGAGCTGCTCATGGCCATGGTGAAGCTGTTGCACCTGGAAGGCGAGCTCGAGGCCACTGACATTGAGAACAAGTTCGGCTAGCTAGTCGAGCGTCCTGCTGGAGAGGTAGAACAGATGTGTGCCAGGTAGCTCTGCGTTTGCTGTGGTGGTTGGCAAGCTGTTGTTGGTTCGTCTTCAGTGAGTTTATGGTGATGGGGTGGTATGCTACCTGGTTTATGTAATGTAATAGGCTAGTTATTTCTTAAATTAAGTTCTCACGACTTGAAGGCAAAAGGCTTGGGTCAGCTTTGTTATAAAACTAGCAGAACCCCGCGCGTTGCCGCGGGTGCTATTACAGCAATATAAGCGACCATAGCAAATAATTTTTTTTTTCCAGAGATCAAAGTTGGATAAGAAATTTGTGCGTTAGCTAAACATGGGTAACATATATTGATGATGTAATCCAACTGAAAGGAAGGCGAAATAACAACTTGTACTCTACTGCAGTTGTTATCCTCATAAGGAAAGTGTGACCCAAAGTCTCATTGTAACTAAAACAATATTCACATCTCTCGTTCAATAAAATCTCAATAGTCTTTAAGCAGTAGAGTAATAAGAATCATCAAATGATAAGCTTGAAATGAAACTGTAGTATTAAACAGATAAGATAGTTTTTTTTCAGGCCTGATGTAGTATTAAACAGATAAGATAGTTTTTTTTCAGGCCTGATCGCTCTTTTCTAGGTTGTAGCTGCAACTGTTGCTGCAGAGACCAACCTGCTTATCCATGTAATGTGTGCTGCTTGTGTTCACCTACTGCAGCAGTCGGAAGAGCACAGCTAATCAGGATATTGATTCCATAGAAAGTATATATAAGAGTAAATCTATACATTTGACAATCTAGAGAAATGCAATCGTACAGTAACAACACTGACCTTTATGTACCTGGATTCACTGAATTGAAGCGGCATTACCTAAACATTCACTGACCTCTATGTAGACGGTCGTTGCCATGAGTGCTGTAGCAGGTTCGTGACGGGGCGAACCTGCTGGCCATCGAAGGAGCAGCGACCTCTTGTTTACCTTCCTCTATGGCAGTGAGATGAACATCAGGCGACAGGACGGTTTGCAGTAGCTGGGCAGTAGGTAAAGAACCCAAACGAAAAGTATCAGAGGTTTACTTTCTTAATACACGACAAATTATTTGATACCACAATAACAGTAATTAAAAAAACAAAACCAAAGCGGAAGCCAATTAACATGCAGCTACTTGCTGCTTCAGATCACAACTTACATGAATGTGCAGAAGCATAACATGGACATGTGAAAGTTGAGAAAATTGCATATTTGGGACTCTAATCGTCGCGTTTCGCAGTTTTGGGATTCCAAACGTTGCACTCTTGATTTTCTTGACATTATGTGTATTTTCTTTCTTTTCTAGTATGTATACATGTATTTGTGACCTGGACGGACCCTTTTCTAGTATGTATGCAATCTACGAAAAAGAAAAACAGATCGAAACTTTCGTCTCTGGCCGCCGCGGCGCCGCCGCACGAGGCCATCTGCACGAGACTCCCGCCGGCCATGGAAGGCCAGCAGCCGGACGACCTCGACGCGCCAGCCATGGACGCCCCGCTCTCCCAGGACGTGGCTGCAGGAGCCATGGCCTCGGGCCTCGGAGCCCTGGCCGCGCCGATCCCTAGCCTGGCCGCGACGGACCCTGGCCTGGCCGCGCCCGATGCCATAGCCCTGGATTGCGCGAATCCCCACCGCCGGCCACTGTGATCGCCCTAGCGAGGTCTCTGCTGCCCACCGCTCCTCCTCCGTCAATACAGTACAGTCTTCTTGCCTCCCAGGGACGGCGGCGGCGGCGGCCTCCTGCCTGCCAAGGCGGCGAGCATCCAGGCGTACGTATGAGCACGTACCAGCAGCCATGTCACAGGTCACGTACGTACCAGCGGCAAAGTACCGAGCAGCACGGGTCACGTACGTACGAGCGGCACTGCAAAACATCAGGAGGGCAAAAAGTCCATTGAGGTGACAAATACATGGAGGAATGCTTAAAAAGAGAGAAAATACACATAATGTCAAGAAAATCAAGAGTCCAACGTTTGGAGGGCTATTTTTACGAAGTCGACATTTGGAGTCCCGAAACTGCGAAGCGCAACTATTGGAGTACCAATTATGCAATTTTCTCGTGAAAGTTTATCAAAATACTCGACCATGGAGCGTATAGCTGAATTTACTACTACACAAAATCCTCAACAATCCTGTCAGGCATAAACAGAGGTCATGCACAATTAAGCTGATAATAATGCAGTCAACCATGATGTAATCACAAGTTATTGATCAGTTGCTCTACCAATACATGAAAGTCCTCCACAACGTCCATGACTGAAGGATTCCTCAAACCTAGGAAGCCTATGTTAGTGCGGCCAGCTGCAGGTAGGCCTGTTCATTTTGTGCCTGTTAAATGTGCTTGCGATTTCTTATTAATCAGCCATTGAACCTAAAGTTTTAATTTTTTCGTTTCAGGGGGGACATCAAGGGTTTTTAGACTGTTTGAATGAAGCTGGAATCAGTATTAGCTGCACCAGAGAACCAGAGGAAACCGAGTAGCATTTAGTAAACCATCACAGCACAGAGGCATATCGTCGAACACATAGGATGCAATAAAGGAATAGCCATGGAGTATGAAACGTACCTTGCTCCATGTCAATGGTGTTGTGGTGGTAGGTCCGTGGGGACGTAAAGGCTACGCCGGTGCGGATGGGGACGCTGCTCGGGGGAGGCAGTGGCAGCGTTCGTCGGCGAGGAAGCACTCATGTACAGATCGGGAAAGGGAGAGCGAGGAAGAGGCCGGCGGGGGCGATGCGGGAAGCGGGCAGCGGCGCAGGTCCCTTTCTGTCCTGCCCCCTCTTCTTTCTCTTGTCCAAGAAAAATAAAAATGAAAGAGGAAAGCAAGGTCCATGGAGAAGGTGGCAACACCCCCATGGAGGTTCAACCCCAGATCCAGACCGAGAAGAAGAAGGGGACACGAACCTCGACGGCGTCGATGTATTCGAAGACAACGGCGAGGTAGACGTATGCGGCCACCAGGCTTGGGCAGAGACGAAGACGGAGGGTGCGCGGTGACACTCGACGTGCGGGCGTGGTTCTGTCCCGTCCGCGCAACAGCAGGCAAGCAGGCGCGGCGGCGTGCCACTCCTCCTCGGTTGTCGCGGCATCTGGCGCGACATCAGGCGCATCAGGCGTGACTCCCTCACCGGCGGCGGCGGCGGCGTAGGAGGTGAGGGGCGAGCGGATGAGGACGGGCACGTGGGAGGCGAGGCGCGGAGCGACCACGAGCGGCGGATAAAGACCGATGAAGGCCATCGCGGAGCAGCCGAGGCGGTGGAAGGATAAGGCCGTCACCACGACCCTGTGATGGGAACAGTAGAACAGTAGCGAACGTGGAACCATTGGATGGACGGATCGCACAGCCAAGCCTAGGACCTGGCACTGTACGACTGTGGCGCCACACGGCCAAGCCTGGGATCTGGCCCTGTAGGACTGTGGCGTCTCAGGATCTATACATCTTATATCTTATATGAAATAATATGCTCTAAAATGTTGCCTTCAAACTCAAAACTATACTCGTTCCTTTTGGGTCACCAGTAGAGAACAGATTTTTAGTTCTAAGCTTTAGTCCCAATCATTTTTTTGTCCGGTACTAAAGACAGCATTAGTCTCGGTTGGAGCAATCAACCAGGACTAAAGTCCCCTACCCAACGGCTAAAGGCGTAGCTTTTACAGGAGGGGAGCACCCTCTAGTCCTGGTTGGAGTTACCAGCCGTGACTAAACCTTTAATCTCGGTTGGTGGCTCCAACCGGGACTAGAACTTTACCTGTAGTCCGGGTTTATAACACAAACCGGGACTACATGTTCCGGGCTATATACTTTCTCCTTCTTCCTCTCCCAGCCTGAGCCATTTCAAGCTCTCTGCCTGCTCTCTGTTCTTGCTTGTGGAAGGAGTTCATGCTTGCGGGATTGGTGAAGACTTCATTTCTCCATCTATTCTTCGGTTCTAAAGGTTACCAACTTCATCCTCCCATGCTTCATCACTAGCATGGCTCATTTCTTGGTCTAGAAATAGAGAAATTTGTGGTTTTTTAGATTGTGGATGATGATGGATTTTTTTGATTTATATACCATTTGAGTTCGAAATCACTTGATAGTTTGAATATGAAGATGAAGAAAGCTTATAGTAGTTCATCAAAACTAGTATGCACCTTTCATTGCCTCATTTCATGGTCTAGAAATAGAGAAATTTTTTGTTTTCTAGATTGGGAATAATGGTGGATATTTTTTATTTATGTCATTTGAGTTCAAAATCACTTAATAGTTTGCATATGTAGATGAAGGAATCTTATAGTAGCTCATCAAAATTAGTATGCACCTTTTATTACCTCATTTCATGCATGGTTTAGAAATTGAGAAATAAAAGGTTTTTTTAGTATATAGCTCATTTAATTTCATGGTTCACAAAATGAGAAACTTATAGTAGTTGATGAAAATGAGTATAGAGAGTCGTAGATGGCGACTGCTTCTGGGTCCTCGGCCTCGCATGGGGTCCCTAAGCGACTGAGGCCGAACCTCCCTCTCATTGTGTGTGGCAAGTGTGGGCAGAAGATTATGAGGGAGTACAGGGTGAAGAAAGGTCCCAACCAAGGGTGCATCTTCTACACGTGTTCGGATCGTGAAGTGAGTAATTTTTTGTCATGTTTTGCTATGGTTTATAGCCATTTTTCGTGATAATTTTAATTAAAGTTCTTGATTTGTTGTTATAATTTTAGTGGGATGGCACTGGATCATGTGATGATTGGTACCGGGAGGAAGAGTATGTTGAGCACGTCCAAAAATCTCTTGCAAAGGAGACTGAGGCGGCTGATGAGAGTGCACCTATGTATGATGAGGCAATGAACCACCAGAATAATGATCTGTCTATTTTAGATGGAATTGGTCGCGTAATCCTTATTTTGTTGAAGTGCATTGTAGGTTTAGTGTGTTTAGTGCTATTTGGGATTGTCAACATTGTATCAAGGCTTTAATAAATTAATGTT